CTCCTGCGTCTCCTCCCCCTCCTCCTCCTGCGTCTCCTCCTCACCTCGCGAGAGCCGGCCTCCGCACGGGTCCCAGGCCGGCCCCCAGCGCCCTGCAGCTCGCTCCCTCGCGCGGGGCGCACCCCGGGGAGGGCCGCTGCGCTGGGCGGCGGCGGCGGCGGCGGCGGCGGGCAGGCGGGCGCCCTTGCTTGCAGCTCGCTCCTAAACCACCCGGGCCCTGCGTCTGGAGATGCGGCGAGGGAGCGAGGGAGCGCGAGCCCGGGAGCCATCTGCTGGCTGCGAGCGGGGCGAGCCGGGTGTTCCCGGGCTTCCCGGTTCCCTGTTCCCACCTCCCGGCGGCCGAGGGAGCGCGAGGATGGGAGACTGCAGAGGCACGCAGATTCCGCAGACCCGTCTGCACGGAAGCCCGTTCTGTCTGGGACCCTGTTCCGCACTTTCCTTTTCCAGCCCTCCCTGTGACATGCTGTCTTTTCATCAGCGTGATTAATTTTCTATTCCTGGTGAGCAGGAGCTAGACGAAACCTGGGAACACTAACCATATGGGGAGAGGACACTTTTTTATGTGCCCAGCCACAGTCTCAAGATCTTGGAATTGAGAGAGCGCTTTGGAAAAAGCCTTTCACTCGCGGCGGCATCTCCTTTAACCCCAGGACTTAGAGAGCTAGCTGAGCAGTGTTCACAGAACCCGGATTAGGGCTGCTGATAGGTCTGGTCCTACCTGGCCCCACTCCCTCGACTTCCCCAGACCCCACCCCCAGAGAGACAATTTCGGGGCCAGGAATACTTGTGAGCGCCTCGCTTGCTGCTTTCTTTCCTGGCAGCTGGGAAGGGCTCTGTCGAATCAGGATCTGTTTTTAAAGGACAGCAAGAGGGGAGGGAGGAAAAGGAAGGGAATCCCCTAGTTCTAAACATTGCTGTTGACCTTGGATCGGCAAGAGTAATCTTCAGCCTCTCTGCCTGGTGTTACCATTAAGGCCTGTCCCGACGTGGTCCTTGCTACACTTCTAACCTCTCCCATTCCCCCCTCCGACAACCTGACTCTTTCCAAGACTCTTTGCTTTTCCCAACCCATTAAGGCTATTTGGTTCTTACCTGTGTTTTCAATGCAGCCCCATGTGTACCTTCTCTGTGAAGATTTTCAGGGGTTTTCAGGGTACTGTGCTCGCTGATTTCAAAATCAGCAGAGTATATTGCCTGCAACATTTGTAAGCCCAAACCATACAGTGCCTTCTTACACTGCTTATCTATTTATCTGGTTTTACTGTTTAACTTGCTCTGTTCCCTGAGTTTGGATTTGTCTGCCCAAACTACCTAGGCTCTGGGCAATTTGAGGGCAGGACTTTATCTCAGACTTATAAACCTCCTCAACAGGCTTGTGCAAAATAGGTGTTCAATAAACATGTGTTCACTGATTGGTTTTAAAGCTTGTGGCCTCAGGCTCCCTGATGTTTTTCTCAAAAATTGGAACTTGCTTTAAGTTAGACGTTTCTTTTGTGCCTTAAATATCTTTTTTGTGCAATAAATGGAAATTAACATCTCAAAACTATGTTCCTTTCAACTGTGTGTGTTAAAGAGGATTTTTCTGGCACACACCAGTGGAGTTTCAGAAATAGCCCTGAAGGTTCCAAACCATGTGGTAACTTGTGAAAATAAGGACAAAAGATTTTTTTTTTCCTGTGGCCCTGGGTGATGGAAAGAATAAAGGAAAGGCTGTATGGCAGTCCTGTAATTCAGTGCTCCTTGGCATCTTGTAGAGAAAGCTGGGATTTCAATAAAAGATTCCATTTTTTTTCCACTGCAAGAAGGGTCTTGATTGGTTCCAGCATCTCTGAAGGCACGGATTCAAATAAACCTATCTCGATGCCGAAAAAGGACTGGCTGATTTTGGGTGCAAAACTCAAATATGTCTCAGAACAGCAAGGAGCACTGTTCATAATGCTGCCTAACCCAGCCCGTGGTAAACGTCCGCCTGCACAACAGAATCAGTGATGCCAGCTTAGAGAATGCATTTCGAATTCTGAAATGAGTGCTTATTTACTGAAATCTACCCACCCCTCCAATGCCACAAACTTTTCCTCAGTGAAACTGCCCTTTAACTTCCAGAATTGTAAGGTCATCCCTGCCTATACTGTCTTAATTCATGTTAAACCACCACATGAAACTGATTGTCACTATAAATGAGATGAACTATGGCTTTATCTAAGTAAATATTTTTTATAAAGATTTTTTTATTTATTCATTCTAGACACAGAGAGAGAGAGAGAACGTGAGCCGGGGGAGAAGCAGAGGGTGGGGGAGAAGCAGGCTCCCCGCCAAGCAGGGAGCCCGATGCGGGACTCGATTCCAGGACCCTGGGATCATGACCTGAGCAGAAGGCAGACGCTTAACCATCTGAGCCACCCAGGTGCCCCTATCTAAGTGAATATTTATATATAGCCATGATTGGGCATTACCACTAGCACTGATAGACTGAAATGTATTAGAAAGAAAGAGAAAACTGGTTTTTCAGAGCCTCCCTACTGCACCTGAACACAGTTGCAAAATGTAATATATATGGAGTAACGAAATCATTTTAGAAAATTATACATAGACTTTTATCTTTGGTTCATAGGCACACATTCATATCCATATAGTAGATTTTGTAGTGCATTCTGGAGAGAAAGTACACTCTGAATTTAAAAATCTGCCAACAATACTAATGTCTGTAATGATCTAATACAATACTGTTGGAACCATATCATATAATGATTAAACCCATGGAGACAAAACACAAAAGAAATCAGCAAGCTATCAACAATCAAACAAACAAACCCATAAACTTACCCAAGTCAATTTCTGATTTTGCGTACTACATTGAGAACTGGTTTTAAAACTGGAAGATATGGGTGCCTGGGTGGCTCAGTCAGTTAAGCGTCTGCCTTCTGTTCAGGTCATGAATCCCAGAGTCCTGGGATGGAGTCCTGCATTGGGCTCCCTGCTCAGTGAGGAGTCTGCTTCTTCCTCTCCCTCTGCCCCTTCCCCTGGTTATGCTCTCTCTCACGCTTTCTTTCTCAAATAAATAAATAAGGTATTTTTTAAAAAAATAAATAAAACTGGAAGATACTCAGATATATAGGAACAAAAAAATTTCCATTTCCCACCCTTAGCAACTATCATTGGCTAGAGGCCTTCTTAAGGAGATGTCTGTTTCTCAACTGGGTTAATATAAACCTTTCTGGAAAAATATACAATGCACACTAAGCTTGCAAACACCTCCAGGAAAAAATATTGTATCTCTGATTAGAAGACAGTGCAAGGTAAATGACCATTAGATAATATTCCTTTAAAGTATTCACAAATGCTATTATATGGGGAACTGCATAGGAATAACGATGAAACAAGAGCTCTTGTATTGATTTTTGTTGCATCTGGATAATGGGTACATGAGAGCTCATTGCTCTCACTTTTATGTATGTTTGAAATTGTCAATAATAATCAGAGCAAATCCTTCACAGATAAGACTGAGCAAGAAGGAAAAAGTCAACTCAGCTATTAACTGAGAAACTCTATTTGAGTGTGCCATCATCAGAACTCACAGTTACGCAGTGGTTTTCCATATTCAGAACACCTGAACACTTCCAAAGACATCATATTGCCTTGATTCAAAGAAGCACTTTTGCTCATTTTCATGTTAATGAAATCAGAACGCATTTTATAATTGGCGTAGGCAATTAACATCATGCTTCTCACACCCCACACCCAACACAAGTACAATATCTGTCCTGGAATCAATGGTGCATCTGACAACTGATAGCGTCTGACAGGTTAGAAACCGTAATTCCTCTGTCTTTATATCACAATGAGGAAATAAGTTCAGATTTGAGGAGTGACTTACTCAAAGTCACAGAGCTTGTTAAGAGTCAATGGTTGAACCTAGAATTTGAGATTTGCAGGCCAAGCATTTTACTACGCCCCTTTTCCAGGCTCTTGGGCTGTGTTCTGTGGGAAGTTTGCAGATGGCCAGGGCTTGGCCCCCACCTGCCCACAAGATGCTCCCCTGTCTAGGAGGAAGATTAAGATGATCTTCGATTGCCCTGCAATTAAGTCAGTCCAGTGTCAGCCCCGTGGCAGGTGTGAATTCATTAAATCTAACCAAATTGAACATTTTTAGAAAATCATAAAAGTAAATGAAAAACGTTTCGTTAGGTGCCAAATAATGAGTTCGGTAAGTGCCACAGAACTTCATAGAAGTGAAGGGGAAGAAAGCGCTACACGGAGAGATGCCTTTACAAACTTACTCAACAAATGTGAGTTGAGCACTTACTATTTGCCAGAGGATATAAAGGGTGAATTATGCGGATTTTTCATGGAACCCTGATGAAGCAGTCGAGAGAGAGAGAGAGAAG